GAGAGAGAAAGAAAGAGAGAGAGAAAGAAAGAGAGAGAGAAAGAAAGAGAGAGAGAGAGAAAGAAAGAAAGAGAGAGAGAGAGAAAGAGTATTGCGTAGTGTACTGCAGTGTAGAGCTACTTAAATGCAGTGGAGTGAAGTGAACAGATTGGGTAGGGAACTAATTCAGATGCTCAAAGAACTTTAAAAAAATCCACATTGTAATTCTGAATTAAAACGGGAAAGAAATTGTACGACTGTATTTAAGGGTATGTTAAGGGTATTTCTTTTATTGTGTTGTATTGTAAATTGTTTTTGTCATGTAGATGTAATGTAAATCTGGTAGTAGGCCTATGGTAACCACCTCGCAATAGGTCAAATAAATATTATTATTATTATTATTATTATTATTATTATTATTATTATTATTTAATTATTATAAGAAAGGTCATCCATTACAGTTTCTTATGAATTGAATTTCCAGCACAAACAGAGCGCGCGACACCCAAATGGTTAACGAGAGCTAAATCGATTGAAACAAAGTAGAAACTGACACAAGCGGGCACGAGCTCCTGCAAAGGGCAAGAGACGAAGCGGCGGCCCTGCGCGCGCGACGCTCGAAAGGCTCCCTCGAGAAGCTCCCGCAGCAGCCACAGGGTTCTCGGTCGCCTTCATCAGTTTCCGAATCAGTGGAAACACGCACACGCGCTCACGTTTCATAAAAAGGGGCAATACCCGGAAGCGACCCGAGTCCCCGCGTTATTAACCCCCTCAATACACTCGGGAAATTGCACGAAAAAAGATTTTAAATAGAATTCTAAAATACGTTGCATAACTCTTCGATAAACAGCAGTTTGGCTTTCGAGCGCATCGCAGCATACTACAGCAGTTTGTACGAATAACGAACCACATACGACGCACCTTCGAGGAAGGCCGATTAACAGCTGGGTTGTTCTTAGACGTTGTTGGCACCTTTAGCAACGTTTGGCACGACGAACTCCAAACCATGAATTTGTTATGTGCCTCGTGCATCTTATCCATTCTCAACTAGCAACCAGAGAGAGTGTCAAGTGACGCTTCTGAACGCTAGATGTCAGTCCCTGTGCTTAGACAAGTACACACACGATTCCGAAAGCCTACGCTTTCACTTCTAAACCGTACGCCTATACAGCTAGCCGCAATGGAAGTCGAAGATAAATCCCGGATCAACCTCCACGTCAAGAGACAAATCAGACCTAAACCACTTGCGAGGTCGAGGTTTTGAACCCTGGGGTACCGGAGCCTCAACTGAGGCACGAGCTCCTACGGGGCTCGGGCCACTTCCCCTCCGAATTCGGAAAAGGGCCGACAGAAATGCGCAGCCGAGGAGACGCGAGGCGGCGAATAGTCGATTCATACGAAAGTATTTGCCAGATTTTGTTTAGCAAATAACTGCGAATTGTATTGTTCATATTCTTCCCAACTAATTACTAGGGAGAGGATTTTTATGCCCTAAAAATCTTGAAATATGCTTTTAAAATATGCATTTAAGACCGAAAAAATCTTAAATATGCCCTATTTTAATTGCGTATTTGCAGTTAAAATTACCAATATTTCATTCCCTCTATAAACCTTTCTTAAAATTCAGGAGAAGCATCCATAGAATGGAAAGATATATTTTTGTGCAAACATAATATAATCTACCCTACTTCGCGAAAGAGATAATTGAAGTAAATATTCACCTTAGTGACGTACATTGTATGTCTTGTATTTCTTCTGACTGGTTTAAAAAATGCTATGAAGAAATATCCTACATTTGTGCATACACTAATAAATCAAGGGCGAATTGTTCTTTAGAGGGGAAGAGACTTTACACTTGCACATGTACACTAACAGCATTTGAAATTGGAAAGCAAGACCATCTGGGTTGGGAGAACGACAATAAAAGACTTATTGAGCCATGATCTGAAATTGCAGAATGCTTTACTACTTATTTCGAGGTCTACACATCCGAACTTATTGATTAACTTCCAACTCTGGAAGTTGAAGGTACCAAAACAGTTGAGTACGTGGATTTTTCACATTATGGACAGCATTCATGCAATTTTACAAAGGTTTTTGAGTGTGTCGGCGTTTTCCTGGTTTTTCTTTATTTTTTCCTTTCTTCAGAATTCAGCCACCCAGCACCTTTTTAGAAAGAAGGCAGTTAATAATTCACATACCTGAAAATATTTGCTTCCGGTTACTACTCACAAATATTAGGGAGTTTGATTTTAATTTCTAAAGACGTGAAAACCTCAAGCAACTTATTCACAAATCTGCAATTTTAAAATATCACACGAGGGCTTTCTCTGAATCTGAAATTACTGTTTTAAAGAGAATACATTACCACGACTAGGTTTAATGCTCGCTCCAACCATGTCAACGTCCACCCCTGGGGCCACGTTCCAAGCTTCTAGGTCTTGCTTACTCACCTGTACACAAATATGAACAGATAAATAATAGAACAGATCAGAAACAAAGCAAACAAACTTTCAATTTCCAAATTTCATTCAAACTATTAGCAACGATACTTACATTCTGTCTATTTGAAGATTCAGAACTGTTTTCACCATGCTCTAAAAGGTAAAGGAATTCAGATGAGATAACAAGCAACAAAAAGACAAAATTTACTCTATTTCATATTAATTACTGTTCTAAACATTATTCATACTAATGGGCGTGGTGTAAAGTTTATTATGGATATAAACGAAATATACTGAAAACTACTACTAATAAACATAGAGGGACCTCGCTGTGGGAATAAATGAGGTGTAGTTTCCCTGGCAACTGCTAAACCTCCGAGACACGTAATTTAAGCATAAAATAAAGGTATCTATTTGGCGACCTTGTATCTTTCATAGATGTTTGTTTTCTTGGATTTTTGGCATTAGAAACTTCGAAGTGATTTTGTTGGTCTTTCATAGTAGAAATGGAACGGTGGAACAAATCGATGAAATCTCTGGACAGTCGAAAAACAAATGTTACCGAGCACATGTGAAAGTTCTGAAAATCAGATAAATGAACGTAGGAGTTAATCGATCTGTTTCGTTCAAAACTTATGTGACCAAAGTACGGAAGGACAAATTTCCACATTTCTGCAAAAACTCGTTTATTGTTCCCTTATGGTGAAAATATAAGATTCAAGACCACTGCGTAGACATGCATGTCATAAGTAATCAATGTTAAACAAATGTATGTTGGCCCAAGGCAGTGGCGTCTTGTGCTTAGGTTGGATGATTACACATTTTTGAAAAGGAAGTAAGGGGTCTCTTTTACCAAACCGCATAGTCTCAAAAACTGCACAAAACGTTTTCAGTAATTGTTCTTGAGATTGTATCTGCTTTGCAAAAGCATTTGCAATAGAACGATGGAAAGATTTTAGAACCTTTGAACCCATTACGTCAAACATAGCATTTACTAACGTGATAAAGTTAGTTCAGACAAAAATAATGAAACATCAGGATATTTTGAATGCTAGTAAAAAAACTAAAGCAATGTGGAATATCGTAAAAAATACGACTGCCTCATCTCGTTACTTAGTAGAGAAGGTTGTTTTAAAGGATAATGAAGGAGAAGCCAGTAGTCCGGAAGAAGTGGCAAATCTCTTCAACCGACACTATTCTAGAATTGTGGCTGAACTCGCAAAGGGACTAAAATCGTCAAATTCAACATCGTTACCTTCCCAAAAATTCTTCTAACGAAATCTTACAAATAGTAAACTAAAAAAATGCTTTCTGGTTTACTGGTAAATGCATCTGGTTTAGATGAATTTACGGATTGTTTATTGAAAACTTGTGTACCTGCCTTTATATTCATGTTAACTCAAATTTTCAATGCTTCTTTATGCACAGGAGAATTTCCAGATATTTTCAAAACAGCAAAAATTAAGCTACTTTTTAAAATAGGGAACAAAAATGAAGTTCAAAATTTCTTTCGACCAATCGACACGTGCCTTTTTTTGAGCGATTGACAAATTGTGTGGGATCCAACGCGAACAAACTTTTTTGACAGTCAAATGTTCATGTAATATTGAATGTATGCTGGTCCCACTAATGCCTAAGGTTGTCCCAATCTCAAGATAGGTCACATGACGATCTTGCAATATCAGTTCACCCACAGCATCAATGGTTTTCGGAACAACAACTGATTTTGGACGTCCTTCGCGAAATTCGTCTTGGAGTGAACTCCGACCACGATTGAATTCTCTATACCATCGATAACACTGGTCCTTGATGGAGCTTCATCGTCAAAAATTGAATTCATCCATGCACTGTTGCTGAGTTAAACCACGTCGAAAGTTGTAAAAAAATAATCCCACGGAAATGTTCACGATTTAATTCCATTTTTCGGCCAAGATGAATCTTTTAAGTTACTGTAAACAACAGAAATGGCGCTCGTATGTCAAAACGTTCTGAGTACGTATAACCTCAAATCATCCAACTTTAAGATTGAGCCGTCAGTTGCCAGATTGCAACACCAGGGTTGCCAAATCTCGAAACATAAAAGGCAACCTTCGTAACAAAATCAATAGAAGCAAAGGCACAAAACACCAATATATTTAGAACTGTTATTGGTTGCATCGATTACAAGTGGATCCATGGTAATAGAATATCAACCCCTAAACGGGGCGTCCATAAATTACGTAACTCAAATTTGGAGTATTCTGAACACCCCCTCCCCCCCCCCTACAACGCACCCGTAACGCGCGCTTGAACCATCCTAAATAATAACGTGACGCGAACAACATCTCTCCATTTTGCAAATGCAAGAAATGAAAAAAATTGTAGAAGTGTTGTATATTAAAATTAATGATAATTAAACTAGAAATTAGTTGGCGATGTTGACTGCACCTAACAATAAGATTGGAACAAGTTGTGAAGAAAGGACGATTGGGCGAGAAATCATTAATCAAAACAATTTCATCAATAAAAATGGATGAAAATATATTTTCATTTATTGTAACAATTTACAATTAAAAACTTCAATTTATTTGTGCTATTTCATCAAATTAATTTATATTTTCATATTTTAGTACAAGACTCAACGCAGGGAATTATTTCAGCAAGTACTGACAAATGTAACAAAAATAAATATCAATGTTACGTAACACTAAACTAATACTTCCTATCCCTATGTGACGTTGCCTCAAATCCCCTTCTCCTCTTTTGCGTTACGTTATTGATGGACGACCCCAGAAGAATTATCCACTATTAAAAGCGTATGTGTACAACGTGTCATGGGAATTCGGTGGGTGCTGCTGCTGAATGGAACAGACTTTACCGTTTTATATTTCGATTTCCTTGGTCTCTGCTAGCTATTCAGACTTGCCACACACTTTCGCCAGCTACTATCTTCGCCGCCCACAGAACTTTTTTTAAAAACATTTTCTTAATTTGTAGGTTTCCTAATAGTAGAATGGAAATACTATTTTAAGAATATTAAGGAACAGTAAAACTTCACCTAAATGGAAATTTTCTTTGCAAAAATTGTAGCCCTTTCACGAAATTGAGACTAAGCGCTACTGCAAATCGAAATTTGAAGCTCTTTTTCACAGAAAACTCATACGTTTTCATATATCACAAATTCATATGAAGTCATTTCAAGCTCTTCCAGTGATAATAGTGATTATATATATATATATATATATATATATGAGGGAGAGAGAGAGAGAGAGAGAGAGAGGGAGAGAGGGAGAGAGGGAGAGAGAGGGAGAGGGAGAGGGCGAGCGAGCTGGAAATGTGAATATTAACGGCGTGTGGGGTCTTTCATAAAAATACATTTGTGTGTTAAAAAACACAATAGAAACAAACGAACTTTACGTCAACATCAGAGTGCAATTACTACTATCCGTTCGAAATGTTTCAATAAAAATTTGGAACTTTTTTTGAGAAAATAGCATTTGAGCTCTTCTAAAAACACAAAAGTTTGAGCTAGTTTTCACAAAAAACGGTTGAGTTTTATATGACATTATTTAAAATACATGCACTCATCAATATAGTAATATAAACAAATCACCGCTAATGTAAATATTAACGAAACGAATAGAGCAAATTGATATTTTTGTCACTTTATAGAGTACATTTAACACTGTCCCTCCCAAAAGCTTAAAGAAAAAATTTGGAGCAGCTTTTGAGGAAATCTTAGTTTAGTTATTTTTTAAATTTCACCTATTGCACGCAAAATTGCGTGAAAAACATTTTCAAAAAATGTACGCGATGTTAATAAAAAACTCTATGGAGAACAAATATTATTTGGAAGAAAAATCCTGATCTTCAATTTTGTAGTTTTCGGAAGACGGCCCAAAAAGGTCAACATGTTTAAATTGTCGAAAAATCAGAGTTAACCCTGAAAATCGAACCAATGCCACCTTTATAACTGTATTTTACTCTATTTGTCAAGAAATATAAAGAAAGAATTTGGAGGCATTTTAGTGAAAATTTTGAAAATGTTTTGTACAGTACCCCCAAAGTTTGAAGGAAGATTTTCAAAATCGCAGCGCCTCGAGTCGAGCCAAATCGATCGGGGAATATCCATTTTGGAAAAAAACCTACGTATGGTTAGGCGGTAGTGGTGTTCACAGATCGACACTGACGGACGTTTTGAAAAACACTTTTTCGGTATCACAGGACCCCAAAACGTGTATTTCCGTTGAAATCTCGAAATCGATTTTCCGCAGCATGACAAATTTCCCAATACTACTACGTATATTACTCCTAATATACGTATGTATACGGGAAAGTAAATAGATGGCATTTACAACATTATCCAATTTCAATGAACTAATATTGATATTAGGATGAGAAATGTAATGATTTAGAATGTAATGTTATGCAATCCCCCGTAGAACCCCATGTGAAATCTGTTACGACAAAACGAGTTTGCCTGCTTCACAGGAGACTAGTTCAACCCCTGAGAGGCGTCCTGAAGCGCCCTATCCTTCTTCCTTCCCAATTCTGGCCGACGGGAAGATGGCGCAAGGCGCGAGCGCGAAGGCGCTACCTGCCGACGATTCCCTCACTTGACTGCGGCTGACATGACGAAACTACACAGCGCTCAACGCTACTTGAGGAGTTAGGACATAATTTATCCCCCCCCCCCAGAAAATATTAAGAAATATTGTTGTGAGCAGTAATGTTCGATGAGAAGCAGCAGTTTGGGGAGCATTTATATATAACTACTAAAACAAAATGTATAATAATTTTTTTTATTATGTACTAATGTCGAATAAAAGTTATATTTGCACTACGCAGGTAATTCCAAAAGTAAACGTCTATTGGCTCTAATTAAAAAAAACTCATAGAAAAAAATGTTGTACTACATACTTGTTAAAATTACAGCTTTCCACTACTTTTCAGCATAGTCACCAATTAAGTTTAAGCTTTTGTCAGCACTTTGAAATTAGCCGAGTCAAGTTCTGGGACACGAGCCACTTCACTTGGGTTGCCCGCTTCAGCCGCTTCAGTTGCTCCAAGAGCCTCGTTAGGGCGGGCGCCACGTCTGGTTCAAATGGTTCGCGAACGTGTCATAGTAAACATCTGAAGTGATTGTTTCACCGCCTTGCTCGTAGCCTAGTCTTCCTCGTTGAACGTTACATGATCCAAGGATGGTAACCCAACTAATGTTATTCATCTACTAATGCGCAATACTAATTACGCATGGTGTTACGTTGTAGCATCATAGTGTTAACTGTTCAGAAAATGTAATTTGCAACCATTAAAAAACCGACTATAATAAAAGGGAATTTTAAACTTGGAAAAGTTTAGTTTAACTGCGGTTTAGCGGTCATTATTGATAAACATTTAATACATCCTTTCACTGAACGTATACAGAAGTAACTATTCCCAAAATAAGTGTGATGCAACGAAGTTCAGCCAACATTCTATTTGTAAAGCTATGTTGGATTATAGTTCTGGTTATCACGGCAATGAAACGGTAGATTTAATTTTTACTAGTATTAAGAGTTTGGTTTCTAATGAGCGTATCTTAAACAAACTACAAGACTGTCAAGCACATTACGTCATGATTTTAAAAACTCGGTTAAGAAAAAACTGTACATATTTCTTACTGCTTGAAACAAGCTTCAATCTTACAAAAATTCTTTATAAATAATCCAAAAGAACACACCCAGTAGTAGAAACTGTTTCTTATACTAAGATGGTCTTAAAAACTATATTAAAAATAAAAATTATAAGAATATTTTCAACTCTCGAAAACTACTTGTAAACAGTGAAACTTAAGTGAACATTAATGGTTCAGACAAAAACGGTTATTGGGGGTGGCCACTTAATGAACGCTGAGGTATAGATCTACGTGAAACGTGGATCAGGTCTATAGTGCAGATTGCTGTGAATTACCGCAACTGGCTTACCGCACTCCAACATATTTCCTGGCTGAAATTCTCTTCTCCTTTTTTCTTGGATCACTTGCATCCGCTCAGCATATGTTAACGTCCTTGGCAATTTTCTGACACAGAAAACACATTTTCCGTTCCCACCGAATCAAACTCATACAAACTGGGCTTCAAAATCAATGGCGAGTCGTGCTCAGGTTGCACAACCCTAGATAACAGTGAAATAACAGAATCTATATTTTGTGGGTCGTCGACACCGGACAATTGACTACCGGTAAACCGCGTGACCGACCGTCAGTGTGCGGTCACCCAAGCGCCTCAACAGTTGAGACGATTGCTTCCAAAGCAGAGAGCTCCGATCGATGTCAACACATTCGAGACCATTAGAGATCGAAACCGATTTTCATTTATTGGGGGTGTGGCATTAACATTTTCAAAATTTTCCTCCAAAATGACTACTTTTGTAAACTTAAACTTCGTCCTCTGTTAGCGCAAGGAATGGTTGGGGGCCTCATCCTCGTCAAAATCCCCAATGTTTCCAAAATTACAAAAGCTCCAGTTATTTTGTTTTCCTACAACTGCAACATTGACTGTAATATTTTAACTTAACTATAATAATTTTTTCATCGTGTTAATTTTTTCGAAAAAAGCTCATGAATTTTTTCGCTGATTTTGCGAGAAGTATGAGCAATAAACAATTATTTCCTAAAAACGCATCCAAAATTTCTCCTCGTATGTATCAAAGGACGGTATAAAAATTGGCACTAGTCCCAATTTCTGCAAACTGTCTTTTTCGATACTAGCAAAAAATAACATTATAACAAAAAAATAACACATCTTCAATTAAATCTTCTAAAAAAATTAGCCAGTCAAAAAAGGTCAAACTTTTTTGAACAAACGAGTAACTTTTGGATAATTGGTGCTTAGTGTTAATGCAATTTATAAAATAAAAATATTCACAAAACTGCTCAGATTTTTTCTTTCATTTTTGTCGTGAAGTAGAAAAGAAAATGGTGCTGGTTCCATTTTCGGCGAACTTTGTATTTTCAAAAATTGTAAAAGTACAATATCGATAGAGATTTTTTATTAAATGAAATGTTCTAAAAATCAGTTTTTAAAAAGGTCATGGACATTAAAAAAATATATTAGTTCAGCGCAGTTTTGCAATTTCCTAAATACAAACTTGAATTTCCCGCACTTCTTTTGGTGGAATCTTTTAAGGAGTTATCACGCTGGAATACAATGAAACGCTATGCGGCAGTTTGAAATTCTCACAATAATTCCCCATTTTTGGGTGGTTTTCTCGATATACTGAAAGCAATTTTGGATTGTCGTATTTGCGTTTATGTATTAGCATTAAATGAATTAAGTTTGCGAGCCTAATGAGTTACAAGTGATGGCTGAGAGGTGTTAATATGGATAGAAATTGCCGTCTCTTTTACATGGCCGTCAAAGATGCAATGAACGACGTGCTGTTGTAGCACCATTAGTTTACATTGAGTGCACCATTTAGGATGATTAGCAAATTTATTTACATTTAATATTAGGTTTGTAAATTCAGGGAAACTGGACAAAAAAAATTATCATTGAACCAAAAGGTAAGGTACAATTCTTGATAAAGATTGCTTAAAATAATGCTTCGTATATTCTCTAGATGTATAGAAACCGTTATGCAGCAGATATTTTACTTGGTCCTTAAACTTGTGAATCGATTTTAATCGTTACGTAATGCACGTGCATTGTATGTGAAGACCTGTAGTGACCTGTTGATACTGACACCCGAGGAATATACTTTTTTACCTCGAGTGCCGTAGTTATCGATATCTGTTTTCTTTGAAAATATGTTCCCACACTTCAGTTGTCATCCTTGAGGAAAAAACAGACATCAAATCCATACATCTTAAAACACGAAACAAGACACTTTTTTCACATTAAAGTTAATAGTTCAAGCTTCCAAAATTATTATGGTATTAGTTTATCATAAAAATTCAAAAATGTCAACATTCATACGAGTTATTTGGGTAAATAATTGGGTTTAATGCTGCTAAAAGCTAAGCCTGCTAAAAGCTTGAAAACAATGGACATCGCAAAAATAGAGATCGTTTCGTAGATAATATCAATTTAAAACTAATGCGAAATGAATTCATTGACTATTGATTGTGCACTATTTGTGATCCCCCCTCGTCTTCTCTTCTTCTTCTTCTTCGTCGTCGTCGTCGTCGACTTTTTCTTCTTCTTCGTCGTCGTCGTCGACTTTTTCTTCTTCTTCGTCGTCGTCGACTTTTCTTCTTCGTCGTCGTCGTCGACTTTTCTTCTTCGTCGTCGTCGTCGACTTTTCTTCTTCTTCGTCGTCGTCGACTTTTCTTCTTCTTCGTCGTCGACTTTTCTTCTTCTTCGTCGTCGACTTTTCTTCTTCTTCGTCGTCGTTGTTTTCTGGTCTTCTCCATCAGTCTTCTCTACCGCCGTCATTTCTTCTCCATTAATACTAATATTAACATTAATTATTAATTATGAAAAGTCCGCGACTATCTACACTGTTTTTGTAAACAAAAGAAGTGGAAAAACAACATGGAATACTCGACAATAACCTATTGCAGCCTTTTTGCACGAAAACCTATCAGTTCTTAAAAGTAAGTGCTTTTGAGAACTACAAAAACCCTATTAAAATATTAGAACATACCAAACTAGGTGCTTTATCTTCAGTATTAGTACTTACCGGGTTGATTCCATACAGTAAGGGGAGCCAGGGGGGCAGAGTCATTGTTATCGATCAGGCTACGCCGCAGCAGCACCACGCTGGCATGGCGACGGACGCGCGAAGAGCCAACAGAGCCCGGTCCAGACGCACACAGGGCCAGATCATCTTGGGAGCCACCTATACATTTAAACACAATCATTGCCTTCGATTCTGTCCCAACAAATGCCATATTAACCGCTTCGATTACGAAGGTCTTCGAAGATTATGCGGCATAAAATATTTTGTTGTTAACGTCATTTCGGGCAAACTTCTTATGCTACATTGTAACCCAAAATGAACCTGCCCCGCGTTGGGCATGCCATTTGTAACGTAATTAAACCTTTCTAATTCCTCAATTAATTTCATTTGCCCCGCTATGCTCGTAAATCAACTGCTCTAATTACTCAGTTTGACAAGCTGTTTTTATTAAGATCTTGCACGAGTTCGACGTAATCATCGACGTAAATCATCTTACCTGTTGCACGTGGACGTGTGCCTGTACAGAAATCACGATTCCCGAAACTTCTGTGGAATTTACAACTTGCTGAATTGATGGCAATTCAATGAAATATCAGCTTTTTCTTTTGACACAACAAATAACATTTATTGCAATATTCTAGTTACATGTATTGAGCTCGTTTGTAATTCATGATTCCATGAAGTTTAAACATTATTTAACCGTACGGCTTCGATAAAGTTCCTAAGCTTACGGAATGTCTCGTGTCGGTTGATCTCCTGGGTCCTCCTGTGGTGCAATTTAAGAGCCCAATGTCCGTGTAAACTTTGAATGTCACTAATACTACAGTCCGCTGTTCGGAAAAGCCCTGCACCTGCTGGAATATTTTCGCGTCGCGACTTTTCCGCACTAGGCTTCGCGACTACTATTGCCTTCAAATTAATCATTTATAATTTCCACTGCGGAACTAACCTCATATAAACCCACAAACACGAAGTCGACCAAATCAACTAGAAACCTTGTAGAGAATGCTGTTTTAAAAGATGACGATGGAAATGTGAACGATCCGGCTACAGCGGCTAGTCTCTTTAACCAATACTTTTCGAGAATTGCTGCCGATCTCACTGATCTTCAGACACAAAATTAAGCGTTTCGTCATTTTAGGCACGATGCTTGTTTCCGAAACTTCTATGAAATTCTCAAAATAAGTGGTAGGCTAAAAAATAAATATTCGGTCGGTTTAGATCCATTTCCGGATTGTTTGCTAAAGATTTGCGCGCCCGCCATTACCCGCACCCGTTATCTCACATATTTAATGTATCCTTACGCACAGGAACTTTTCCAAGTAGTTTTAAAACGTCAAAACGTACAAGCCCCTTTTCAAAAAAGGCAACAAAAATGAAATTCAAAATTATCGGCCAATTTCTCTTTTGTCGATTTTCAAAAATACTAGAAGGACTTTTTTACGTAAATCGCCTCATTCATGGATCAAAACGTAGCACCTATTAGAATATTATTAGATCTTTCAAAAGCTTTTGACGTCATTGATCATATCATTTTACTCTCAAAATTACCTTCATATGGAATTCGTGGTGTTGCTCTAGATTGGTTATGTTACCACCTTAAACAAAAATCCCAGAGAATAGAAATACCTTACTGGAATAATGGAACATTATGTACACACCTGTCCGATTCTTTGCCAACTGAACATGGAGTCCTGAAAGGATCGATTTTAGGCCATATTCTCTTCCTACTGTACGTAAACGATATGCCCTTGACGATTAGAAACAGAAGAACAGTTCTCTTTGTGGATGATAGGAATATTCTTTTCAATAATGAAACCGCAAATAGTACATAGCAGATATTTCAAATTGATTCCCTAATAACAAATTAATAGTAAATGAAGAGAAAACTGTTTCAATGCAGTTTTCCATTTCAAATAAACAGCTCTGCACTTCACTGAAAATAAACGGCGTACCATTAACTGATGTTAAGGTAACAACATTTTTCGGTCTTTCAATTCTTAAATGGAATGTCCATTTAAATGAATTGAACACTAAATTAAGTTCTTTATGCTACGCTTTCAGATTTCTTTCAGATTCAGCCTCCACCCTGCTCGTTGTGTATGTTTCGCGAATGTTCATTCTCGTCAGAGATATGGCATAATATTCTGGGGAAATACATTTTATAATTCCCAGACTTTTACATTACAAAAAATAATTGTACCAATAATAATCAAATCCCACCCACGTGATTCGTGATACAAAAAGCAATTGTACGAATAATAAGCAAATCCCACGTGATTCTTGTAAGCCTCTCTTTATTAATCTAGGTATTTTTACCATTACCTAGTCTTCATATATGAATCAGTGTTTTTTGTCAAAAATGACTTAAGGGCGGGAATATATTTTCAGCATACGGTGTTGTCTATAACTACAACACTCGACGTAGTAATCATATTCACCGGGTGACAGTATCAACAATTCACTACAAAAAATTCACATATATATTTTAAATGCAAAATGTAATTATTATTACAACAATGCGAAGATTTACCCTCTTAAAACTCAACTAAACAATACTGCTTAGCCCACACTATTGTGGATTCACAGAAGAAACATTTACCCACAACATACATCTATTATTGCAAAATTACAATTTCATAATGTTTATACCATTGGAACTGCTTCCGTGCTGCATCCGTGAGAGTGAGAATTCATTTCTTTATGAAAAACGAAATGGTCAACGCCCTCCCTAATCAATTCCATGTTAATGTCACCAGGCCATGCAGTACCTCGATAATGCAATTCTCGTCTTGCATCCAGCGCGGCGCCGTTATGTTTATAGATCGTTGCTCTGCTACGTGTGTTCCTCGGATTCAAACATTCCAGATGCATACATTACATTGTATTACGCTCGTGTGACATTTCGCGCTCAAAGCTTTTTTTTTTTTTAAGAGAAAGCGGAATACATATAACTTAACTTTAGAAATGCGGACAATAACGTTGTATATGTTTATTGGCCCATTTACAGCCAATTCTTCGTTTATTATAAATATTGTTGTTCGTTTTATCGTATCGTCCTTTTGTTGTCCACTTGGACATTTGATGCGGAATTCAAGTCCTCGTAGTCTGTCATAATATCAAGTACAGATTTGCATAATGTCCATTTCACACAATTTTTCCACCTTGTGATGAAATCCTTTGAATGGGGGATTTGATACCTTGTGATGAATCCTCTGGCTGCACTTCAACACTAATAAGTAGAAAAGTACTCATGATGGTGACCAACGAAGCCAAAGCCGTTTTGTCTCTTACCCTCCGTTGTTTCTAATCTTTCGCTGCAGCTCCGCACCGGCCGTCACACTCACTCAGCGACAGAGCGACCAATTGGGATTCCACCCACGGGCCACTGCCCCACTTGAAGCGTGGAAACGTACACTTGCAATTTTTCAACGTGCAAACAAATGAAACGGAACGGAACGCGATTCACATTCTGCTCCAAGGAAAACACCTGGAATTAATAAACAAGAAAGCCATCGTACATCCAAATCTGCAATCAGCAATGAGACCCGTTCAACATGGACCAGTGTTACGGTTCCAGCACGACCAAGAGCCTTATCGGCTCTTCCTCCCCTTTGGATGCAGAACATCATCATTCACTACATGATCACGATGTAAATGGGCACCAGAGTTAGAAGACTAAGTTGCAGCTTGGCCGAATAGGAAAATCTGCGTAAGGGACAAACACGAAATAAATTGCCCACTAATTGACACTACAATTACTATCTACACCGTTATATGACTAGAAAACTTTGCTTACCGCCTTTGTGTGGCAATCTTGGCATAATGAAATAATTTGTTAAAGCCTTGGACACAAACGTCCTTTTCAATATGCTGTTCAAAAATGTTCGTCAGAAACAAAAGTAAAAGAAAAAACTTGTATCTCATTCAGGAACGCTCTCAACCATTTTTAAGGAATGTTAAGGCTCTTTTACACGGTCCAACCTGTGCAATCCGTGCAATCTGCCGCTGGACAGCGACGCAGAGCGCATCAGGCGGCTTAACACCGTCGCCCGTGCCTTCGTTCTTGTGCTCGAGCCACTCGGGACTCGTTGCAGAACGCGCGTCGCGAGGAAAGTGCGGTTTGCGCGCAACAGCGTGGCTCGCATTTACACGCGGAGTTTTGTTGCGAGTGGACATAGTGACCAGCTGGGCGGTATTTTGAAATGGCGGATACTCGTTGCTGGAGCCGGGATATGGTGAAGGAGTTCCATTCCATAAATAGGGAGTGCCCTAGTCTATGCAAGCTTTAAAGTTCTGTACATACTAATAAAAATTTAAAAAATAAGGCGTTTTTTACCCTAAACAGTGCGTTTTTTCTTCTTCATTTCTTCTTAGTATAGTGTTGTGCCACTAATTCCAAGCACTGCTATAATATTCCTATTACGATAATCCTGAACGAACATTTCTGATTAAACTAATCGAAAAATAGTAATCTGATTCACTATACACTATATAAACACACAGCATAAAACGCAACACTATCAGAACATATATAACTGCTCTAACACAGAGTAGCAGCAACAGCGAGGAGCGTGGAACGCGCGTGAGGACCGTCGCATAGGCCGCTGCTGAGATCTGTACACGGACAAGTTTACTCGAATCGTTCTTGAGTGGCGCGCAGAAGCGCGGCAGAAATATGAACCACGGTCCTGCCTGCGTTTGCGCGCGCTCTAGCTTGTGGGAGGATCGTCCCGGTCAGACGCGCGGCTCAGAATCCTCGTGTCAAGGGCCCTATTAAATGACAGATAATGTTATGGAGGATAACTCCTATAAATGGCGCGATTATTAATAGATGAGACCTAGAGCCGGCGCTACTATAGGCAAAATAGGCGAGCGCCTTAGGCACAAACCGGGGGGGGGGGCGCAATTTTGATAGTTTTCAATAATATTTTTTTTATATTTATTTATTTATTTAGACTATTTAGCCATGGTAGTAGTGGCTTTGTACAGATATCTGATGCTTTCTTCTAAGAGGTAGGTTTTCAGTTTTGGTGTTGCTTTAATTTTCCTTTCTTTTTAATTTCTTGTGTGTTGAATTTCAGTTTAGTTTCCACAATGTAGTAGTCTGAATCCAGTTTGCTTCCTCTCTTCTTTACTTTATCAAATGTTTCCTCATTCACTATGACAGTCTTTATGGATTTTGTTCCCCATTCTTCCCATGTGAATTTGTTTTTCTTTACGCTTGAAACAGGAATTGCTTATTCCGAAGCTGTTGAATCCACAAAAGTCAATAAGTTATCTGCCAATATTCTTAATTATTTCCCCTGTGTTCTATTGAGAGCTATGCTTTCCTTTCACATCTGTTCACTGTTGCTTGTAGTTCATTATAGAATGCAGATGATGCTTCCTCATTCTCTTCTACTGATGCATACACTTTTTGCACAACAACATTTTGTTAATTTTCCCTTCCATTATGTTGAATGTTGTTATTATAATTCGTGGAGATATTATTATTTATGGAATTTATACTCTTCAACATTGTTTTTCCATATGTTTCATATCACTATTGCTACTACTCCTGTAGCTCTTTCATCTTGTTTTACCCTTGAATATATTAAAATGTGATCACTCAATGCTTTGATCCCATTGCCTTTCTTTTGAGTTTCAGTTTTTTTTAAATTCTAGTTCAGGGTTATCTTCTTTGTATGGCAATCCTCTTACTTTTCACGTTGCAGCTTTCAATACTATTTAGTCATTTGTTGTTTTTTTTCTCTGGGATTATTCCTGTTGTTCTTCGTTTTGTGATCAAGGGAGCCTTATACCTCTGTGGTGTCTTTGTGAATTTCGAAAGGCACACATCACAATGCCTTGTGGCCAGAAAGTTTCTTCTTCCATTGTTGAGGCTTCATTAATTGGTAAGCCTTCTTTGAATGCTTTGTTGTATCCTACTGTATTTAGTTGCTCACATATGATTTTCCCTTTTATTCCCTTCTTTCTAGATACTGTTTATTTCCTCTGATTCTGTGCATAAACACTTTAAAAATCATTTCTTAAATTCACAGTCAGACACTGTAACCAGAAACACTAGTAATTCTTTATCTTCTGGAACTTCAAAATCTATATTTCTCTATCACACGAATGCTACTGAAGTTAATCAATTTATAAATTCCTTCAAAAATGTTGGTTGTTGGGGAATGATGAAATATCTACAATCATTCTTAAAAAATAAACCAGCTCTTCTTAACATATTATTTTGTGTAATAAAATCATCTCTATCTGCATTCACTTTCTCAGAATCTCTAAAAATTAGTATTGTAAGATCACTTGCTAAGAATAATAATACACAAGATGTTAGTAATTAGCAACCTATAATTCGAACTTCAGTATTTGGCAAACACTATAAAGAAGTTATATTAGTAAGATTTAATGAGGAAGGCCCTCTTAAACCTTGAATTTGTCAGCAGTTACAAAGATTTTCGCAACATTTAGAAGACCATTAATTGAAGGAGACAGTGTAGTGTGGTCCTCATATTTTGAGAAAGACAAAACTAGAAAGAACACAGATGTAGGCAACTAAGATTCCAATTTCTATTAAAAATCTTTCAAATCAAAAAAGATGTAAAAAATTGACATTGTTAATCCTAGAAAAGAGAAGTGAAAGAAGTGACATAATAGAAACATAAAAAAAACAACTAAATAAGGTATTCTTCATGTCTTCCGGGCTAATGGTGGGCTAATCCTGGGCTAAACTAAATAAGGTGTATGATGTTTTCATGCTTGGACACTATTTAAACCAGCTATGGATCCCAGACACTTGGACATTTGGCAAAGCTGATGAAGGTGAGAATGAAAACTGGACCACCTAAGCATTTCACCACTACTCTGATCATGAACCAATGGAATGCTCTCACAGTGGATTGTATTGAGATAAATACTTCGTCGTCAAATCCTGTCTAGATAATTATTATCAAACGAATTGGGATTCTAGTGCAATATACATTATTGCATGCACATGATTAGATCAATTTATTATATTTACATCAAACTGTGATACAAAATTAGATGTTTTCCAAAAGAATTACATATGAACATTGTTGGCAATTTTTGTGAGATACAGGTGTATATCAGCTTGTTGCTACTTCCACGTAAAATAAATAAATATTCCCTTACCTTCATTGAAAATTAGTTCCTTCTTTTGTTTCACAGAAAGTTTGGGGGCTCCTCTGGCAGTGACTGCATTCCTCTCTGCCCCAGCCACATCTGCGTGCAGCTCTTCCCTCTCTGCCCCGCTGTCCACGCAGCTCTTGCCTCTGCTGGGAGCACTGCTGCTCTCTGCCTTCCCCCGGTTTGGAAAGCGGTGCTCTTGGCCATGTGAGCTTGGCCCGGTGGGGGGCCACATTGGTTTCACCAGCGTGCGAGGATGTGCCTGTGCACCCCAATCCACTCGCCTCACCACATTGGGACCGACGCAACTTTGGTCTGGTCGATCTTTTGACCTACTGTTCGCTCCACATACTTCATGTTTTACTGACTTATTCTGATCAGATTCACCTTGAGGAAGGATTTTAGAACACAGAATACGACCTTCTGCAGATCTTGAGTTTTTAATTCCGTTTATAGATTCCTGTTTAACACTGATCTGTTCATTCACTGCACTTGATGGGTGTGAACTGTCATGATTAACTGAACTTGGAGGTAAGCGAGGTACTTCTGTGCAGACTGCCCTACTCAGTATTGGCTCCGTCTCGTTAGTATGTGGCCGTTCCAAATGTTTTGTATTGTTCAGAGTAGGAGAAATAAATCTCCCTTTAGAAACAGTATTTATTTTTCTAGCTACTGAAACATTAAAGATCTTGAAATCAGAACTTTCATGGTTCACTGGATTGGCCGACAATCTTACCTCGTTGCAACTTTCACTATTACCTTCCGTTGAACGATGTCCAGGAACTCGGGAGGGATTGTGAGGTTTGCTGTGATGATGTAAAGAATTTTGTGGCATTATTCTTAGGTCCTGTCGAGCCCCAACATTACCTTCTAACTGCCCTTTGACATACATATTTTCAGTGAAAAGAGTATTAGTATTCAAAGCAGCAGAAGAGCTATCTGTTAGTGTGATATGTCGAGCAGCTGTACGATCGTTTGGTTTTGAGTAGCCAGCACAAGAATCTTTTTGTACAGAACAGGACACCTTCGAAGATGAAACGGAAGTGTCATCAAGTGGACCACACTGTGAACTTGACAATGCATCCTTTTTGCCGCTTCTTGGCTTTGGCCTAAAAGCTCCCAAAGGCGTCACATGAGATGACATTGCACCCTGCACTGACATACTTGGAGCAACTGGCTTTGGAAACCCTTTCATTTTCATTCGAGATGTTTCAGGTTTCCCATCAGAACCGGAGCTCGGAGTTATACGTTTACTACCAACGGAATTACTTGATTTGCTTACGAAACATGCTTCGTATTCATGCGGCCTGACGCTTGATTCCAATTCTTTGCTAATTGCCTGACGGAAACTATTTCTTCGTTCGCGAGTACCCAAACCTCCAACTACAGCATTGACTTTTCTCTGAGCTTCAACAGTTAGATGCTGCAATGAATGAATATTTGTCATTAGAGAATCTTGAAATTTTTGTTCAGGGCTTGGCTTGCCAGGCTCACACTTTTCTGAAGCTGACAAATAATCCCTACAATCTTGTAACAACTTTTTAGCATCTTCATCTAGCCTATATTGCTCTGATTTCCTACCAGAAGAAGCTATCTGGGAACAGGTTGGCAATGAAAGTAAGACAGCACCATCCGACTCTAAAGTAATGGAATCTAGACTTCTTCTCCAACCTTCACTTGCTGATAACGGAGAATTCACCAAATGCACAGCTTCAGAACCTTTCCTCGAAGAGAGTGCAATGTTTTGAGAGCTCACACTCTTGCTTTCACCAACAACATTCTTTGCAACTTTTCTATCACTAAATCTATCTTTTGTTACTTTCTTAGAAGGAACATAGGGCTTCACGTCACTCACTACTGACTTATTACTGCTAGGAGAGCATCCTTTGGGACTTAGAGCAAGCTCAGATCTTTCGCCACCATCGAATTCCCTTGCTTGGCCCTCCTGCGAAGCTCCTCCTCCAGGAAGAGATACAGACAACTTGTTGCGCTCTCCAGAACTAAGCACTTTAAGAGACTTGCTTCTCTTGATAGGCAATGCTGGTCTCCCAGATCGCACATAGGTTGCATCACCTGCAACTGCCAACTGAGGAACACGCAAAACCCCTCTGTTGGCTATTGGCTGGACGCACATCACCCCTTCCTCTACTTTTCTCACAGCTCCCAGCGAGTGACTTCGTGTTACTTGTTGAGGCGTGCGATGTTTCACTTGCACACTTTTACCATCACGGCTCGAGGTGCGCTCAAACAAAGCACGCAACTTGGCAATTCTGGGTTTGTGGAGGAGGCTCCCGCAGGTGCTGCTGCTGCTGCTGGTGCTGCTGGTGCTGGTGCCAGGAGAGGAGCAGCCCCCCCCTGGGCGCTGCTCACTGAAGCTGCAGCCGTGCTTTTGCGTCAGATTTTCCACCTCCTTCTCTTGCTTTGTATGTGCTGTGTAGGGCTTTCTTTTGCACGGCAGAGGAGGAGCATCATCACTCTCCTGAGACATACACTCCTTCTCATTACTATCCTGCTTTTCTGGAAACAAACAAACAAACAAATTAATTTGAAAACTGCTTCTTGAAAATACCATAGGAATGAAATAATTGTAACACATACACACACACACGCATCATTTACACACATACAAGACTTCCTTGATAGCACATCTCTTATCCCTTATCATGGCCCCATGTGAAGGAATCTACTTACTACTGCGTGAACATGGGAGAAAGAAAATGCGAACCCACGAACAAAATGACATCTCATAACCTCTAATACTTGTAAGGTTTGGTTGACACATCCCTGTGTGTATCCAAGATGGAGACTAGGTTCTGGCCTCCTTCATTTACGTGAAACAACCTTAAGTCGGCACAATGGATCAATTTCAACACATTCTATGCCAAAATACTTTGTTGTTAAAAAGTTTGTAAGGAAAAAATGAAAGAAAGAAAAATAAAACAGAGAATTCACACAATTAAATGCAGAAACTGACTTACAAGGCATTATCAAGGAAGTATATATATTGAGCAAATGCATCTAAAATAGCTCGAAAACAATTCTTTATATCTCTTGCAAATTGAACATTTCCACAAATTCTTCATTCAATCTAGTACACATTGCATAGTAATTCTCATACTTTCTTTCTTTCTTTGATAGAGACACAATATTGCATTCTTGAAGAAATTTTAAACAACTCTTCACTGAAACAAATTTCCCACACACATTTGAAATTAAACACAAAGTTCAAATATACAGATTGAAACCTCAGAACAGGAATACCCTTGTTCCTGCCTTTTGTTCTTTGCTTTCGTTCTCTGATCCCTTAGCGTCTAATGTTGAATTGCATAGGGCAAGTTAAGAAATAAGATGTAAAATTACCTTCACCATCAAAATAACAATTCATTTCAACATATCTTTAAAAAATATAAATACATACTTTATTTTATTGCTACATCTGGCAAGAGTAAAACAATTATGACAGCGTGAGCATCTTGTACATTTATCATAAGTAATACTAGAGGAGTTATGGAAAGTAAAGTTAGAAAAAGATTATTGATATGAAACATTTCAAATAATCGACACAGATGGGCATTTTTAATGCATGCAGAAATGAATTTGAAATAAATAAATATGTTACATTTAGTCATACCTTCGTTATTGGCTTCAAATTTGATAGTAGCATAAACAGGTTCAGGACTCTCTTTGACCATCCCATTAACATCAATGTTTTCATAAGGATGAGAATCAATCATCCGCAGCTGTTCATTAAATAATTCTTTAACGGCATGATGAACCAGTACATATTGCTCCTTAGTTTGAACCATTGCAATCCGCTGTTTGCGCATCTCACGCACTAATGTGAATAGACTAAAATCTTTAGTCAATTTCTGAAACAATTAATATTACTTTTAGACATTTTTTAACACAATGACACTTTCTTACAGCCCCAAACTAGAGCAAAGTCATGACTTTGTCTAGACAAAGTCCAAACTCAAACAGCGAGTATCAAATGCTACTATATGGATAGTATCTATTTGACAGTCCGAGACACACCCGGTGCTAGGAATAAATCCCAACGTTTCAGCCATCATGCTGCGACCTTCCTCAGGGTGAAACCCATGCTAACTCTGGCCATGGAAGTCTAAAGTTTCATTTTACATGGACACTATTTTAACTGCTCTCACAAACAAAAAATGAGTGATAATGAGCAAACTGTTAAAACAACTGTTTGGGCTTTTCACCTCACAAAAACTGACATAAGCTCATGTTGCTCTGCTGTCTATTTGTTTTGGACTTGAAGCTAAGAAATCTGATCATTTGAAGATAGAAGAAATTACAAAAATCTAAATTAATAAATGTGTTTCTAGTTTGATGAGAAAAATATATTAAGGGAAAACTCACATTAAATTAGTTGAGTGTAAACAAAGTTTTGTACATTTCCGTAAAGTTACAAGTATTTCCATTCCTCTTCATCTTCATCATCATCATCATCATGAACTGCAAGCATTTAGGTATGATCCAGTTCCTGTTTATGCTGGTTCAGTAGGCCTAGTGGATTAATCTTCTAGGTATTACTGATTTTTCCATTTCTTTAAAGGTCTTCCAATGTCAGTTTCCAATTGGTTTATATTTCCAGATGAGTTTTGATAGTCTGTTGCTCTCCATCCTGTAAATGTGTTCTTTCCATCTCTTTTGTGATTTTGCAATCTACTCTATTAGATTTTTGGTCCCGTTTTCTCCTGATGCCCTTGTATTTCAACCTGTTTCTTATCGTGACTGCTAAGAGGGGTCTTAGGAATGTCATTTGTGCTGCCTGTTCCACACACTCTCTAGTAATTATGTAGTTTTCTCTTGATGTCTCCTTGAGAGTGGTTTAGTACGTCGATTCTGTTTCCTAGGTAAGTGAATTCTCTTACTTGCTCTCCTATTTCCCCATTTATTTCAATATTAATTCTTTTTACTTCCTTTGCGATGGATTTTGTTATTGATATTCTTTTTAAATTCTTTTGCTTATTGATATTCTCATTGAATTTTCCTGTGCAACTTCTAATTGTTCAAAAATTGCCCTCTGTATTTAAATTTATAACTAAATTATGGGTGAAACTCGCTTTCAAAAACTGATAAACATTGTGAAAAAGGTAAAAAATGTAAACATCCTGTCTTCTTAGAACTTTAGTTTCTGCAATCAACTTTCAGGCCAGAACTGAATGTTGGTCACAAATCAAGTGACAAACTTAGTGGACAAAACAAATGAACTGAAACAAGCACTGACGTGCCTTAAAGACAAACTGATTACTTGGTTTCCATACGTGAACATTTAAAAAACAACTGAGTAGTTACTCACCCCAGCACGAAGTAACCCCCAAACATAATCAATGGCACATATGGTTCCCGTGCGCCCACAACCTGCTGAGCAATGCACAAGAACTGGCAATGTTTCAGAAGCTTGAGTGTCCCGGACAAGACGAACCATGTCGAGAAGTGGACGTACCAACGGTGGAACCCCATGGTCTGGCCAAGCAGAATAGTGGAACTGGCATACCGTGCGTTCTTCTGAAAATGAAAATTAATTATTTGCACATACAAACTGATGTAAAAGAGGTACTGAAGTGGTTAAAATAAATTACTTTAAGAAATGTTGCGTAGATCTCAATTTACGTACGTCTCCACTATTCCCAGACCTGCTAGAATTGCAAAAGATAATATTACACGTGGCAATTTGAGTTTTAATCTATACTCATTTTCTAAAACTATTACTCATCAATTACTTAATAATTGCTACATTTATTTTAGTATTATGTTTCTTAACTTCATAATTGTCATTACTGTTTTGTCTCTTACTTTGTATTTGTTATTGCAATGCTTGTACTGGAGCTTCAAATATGAACCGTTTCCATATATGTATTGGGCTACTTAAGTCTGTTGTACCTTTAAAGAAAAGTTAAAAACTCTTAATTCACGTATCTGCATTGAGGTAATGCTGTTTTTAGCTTTAACTTCACATGGAAATTTATTGTGGTTTTTAGAATGTTTTTGGCAAAGATGGAGTCTCAAAGATTTGTTTGATAGGTCTTGATTTAGATCAGTCATCATTCAGATTCAGTTTTCCCAGTCTGACTACATTCAACATTATCCTAGGCTTGTGTATCCAGTTTACTCCATATTTCTTTAACAATGATCAGGTCACAAGTCTCATATTTAGGTTTCATCAGCTGGTAATTATTGCACGCCATATAGAATTGCATTCCTCTTTTATAATTCATGTTCCTCAATCTCTCTAATGATCCCAAAGTGAGTACTGGCAGTTGCTCCAGGAGTCTTCACATTTCAGAGTTCTGTTAATATTTTGTTTTTCACCACAAAATAATAGTGATCTTAACGAGTTAATCCCTCAACTCCTTAGTAGTTTTATCTAACTCTTCTTTAAGAATCTTCGCCAGCTCTTGATTAACAGCAATTGGTTCAAAGTTAGATGAGCAGCAATCAAATATGTCAGCAACAGATTTTCCACTTCCCCTTAAATCACAACAGTGGCATGGCCCTCGAGATGTCACACAAGTTAGGATACCCTTCAATACTGCTTTATTGCACCATTGACAGATGCTCATTTATCTGTGTTATATCTTCTTTCATTTAATTTAATTTTAATTGTATACACTTATGATCAAATACCGGAGTATCGAAGTATATCAATTACAGTTATTTATAGTATGATTGCCCTTCTACTATGGCCAAAATCATATATTGAATATATTATTGAATGCAATAATATATTCAATATATTAACCGGCACCTTCCGAGTTCAAACGGGCTACTGATAATTTCAATATTCTAAAGAAGATAAATGAATACTAGTAAGAATCTACCGATATTGTAGTGGTAATAGTAAAAAAAACAACTGAGAATTAGCTTTGAAACAACAAGAAGCATGCAAAGGATTTGCCAATATTAGCACATCATACTCAAGAGTTCACCGCCACTTAATTAGAGACTCATCTGTGAACTATGTGAGCAGCGAATTCTTCCTTTGCACAGACGCCACTACTCCTATCATCGCAGAAGTTGTAGCATCGTCACTGTTCACTGTTCCTAGTCACGAGTGGTCAAGTGCGTACTTAGGACATAGTTTCAACTTGTGAACATTCTCAGGTATAAACAAGGGTCAAATTTAGGCTCTTTACTCTTTGCTATTGCTGTTTCTGATGTGGATGTTCACCTCATTTGTTTCGTTCTAATACATGAAGATGACAAACTTTTTTTACCCATTAAAGTGTTAGAAGACTGTTATAACTTACAGAATAACCTCGATATTATGGTTGACTGGTGTCTGGACAATAAACTTCCATTATACCCTGATAAGTCTCAAATAAAGTTTTTTTTGTAAATCCACATGTACATATTTTGACTATAAAATTTCTAATACAACTCTTAGAAGCATTAGAATTAAAAAGATTTGGGGGTAACATTTCTTCTTCAACCGACGTTTATACCTCATATCAAACTAGTGATTACATCAACTAATAGCTCATTGAGATATCTTCTGAGGACTCGCAGGAATTTAAAGACTATCAAAGTGCTGCAAGTACTTTTCTTCACGACTGTAGGATCCGCACTTAAATATGTGTCTGTGATGTAGTCTCCGGTTAGAATTGGACTTGTTTAGAGTGTGTTTAGAACGTGTTTGAATAGTGTTAAAGATGCTTTGCCAAATACTTAGAATATAAAGAAACAGGATGATATCCACCTCATGAAACAGTAAATACCTTTGCAACAGATATATAAAACAACTGATATTCTTGAAAATAAAAGAAATATACAGCAGATTATTATTTTAAGTAAGATAATTCAAGGAATTGTTCATGCTTCAAAGTGTAGTTCTGTTGTGTAGGTTTCACTATCTGTTCCACAATTTGTTTTGTTCTCACAAGATTTTTTATAATCCTGTAACTAATGATTTATAAATAAAGATTATTTCAAATGATGGAGCTAACTAATCATTTTCTTAGACATCATTTCATTTTACACACAGTTGACTCCATCAATTATCTAATTTAGCTTATCAAATATATTTACACCATTAATTACTATTGTTCTTTCGACAGATAGTCCTTTAATTGTGGACTTAAGCATTGTAAAAATTATTAAATAAAATAAATAAGTAAAAAGTGCACTGTTTTCATGCGTGATCCATTTCTTGCGTGCTTCTACTGACTTTGTTAACAATTTTGTTGATTTTAGTTGTCATGAAAATTGTGATGAAACTTGAAGATACAACAGTTAAGCTGAAACAAAAACTATTTGATTCACTTAAAAGAGAAGCTTTTGGTTGATTGACAAATGTTTATTTTTGATCGTGAAATAAATAATTTTTCTGAGAATTTTTTGCTAACTTGCATACAATTGTTTGGAACACAGATTTAAAAATATGAACTGAATGTTTTTAATAGATTTTGAAAGCAATTTCAACTTAATTTCTGCCTTAAGGGAGCCCAGAAGATTTGTAGGAAAAAACCAACAGAAAATTGAGTGTGAATGTGAGTGTTTAAAAAATAGAATACTATGATATTGTAACATTTCTTGTGCACCCCCAATCCATGCACACCCTCTGGGCTCTACAAAAACGTAAGACCCAGCCACTGAGCACATTTAGCATTGACCATGCAAAAATGTCGCACCACACCCCTAAAAGCTAACATTAATAACTTTAAAATCCTGACAAGCAATGAAGATGCAGTAAAGAAGTAAAGTTTTTCATTTTCAAAAATTACATCAACACATATATTAATGTCCAATAAACCATTGTAGAATACCTTGAGTAGAGGAGTGATTTTTTGTATATTTGAGGCGCATGGTGCGCACCAAGAAGTCCGGACACACCACGCTGGCCTTCATCAGCTGAATGGCCACCATGCCAAACTGCTTCTCCTCGCCTTCATGCTCCACCCAATAGTTCTCACACTTGTGCTGGCAACCAACAAGCAAGCATTTCACAATTAAAACACTTCAACACACAGATAGAAACAAAGATAATAAACTAAATTAGTACATAATCTACAAGTCCCAATAGTGATATCTATAAACAACAGGATTTGACAGCGATTAATGCGAGCCTAGCCTCTTTAGGACTTGATATGGTGGCAAACCAGATATCCCATCTTGGCATGATAATCACAAAGAAGATGCGTGCCATGTAAGTTATTTTTCAGTCTGGAGACAATGTCTCAACTGTTCTTAAAGCTGATCTTGAGAAAAACAAAACACTATAAATAAAAGAGACCTAACACCTCAGCAAAAGACTCTGCTAAAACTACTATTTCAGACCCACATTCTCCATCCAACACAGGAGAAAAAGTTCTGACTATATGACATTGCAGAAGAGTGCCTTCTGTAGTTAAGAAGCATTCAAACAGAGGACACCATTAAAAAAATCGAATGTCCTTTTACTTGAATGCAGACTACATTCTCCCTAAGCTTACCGAATTCTTCCAAGAAGTTTCCAAATACTCCATCCATATTATCGTGATCACCAAAGCATGGCTGAATCCGCATATCCCTGACTCTCTTCCAGTAGGCTACAAGGGCTTTCATAAAGACAGTTCTCACAAAAGGGGCAAAGGGTTGGCTATTTTTCTTCGCAAGATAAACCTAAATGACCTCTTTGTTCGCTCCATACTACACCATATTCTTAATTCAGATTTTGAAGAACAGATATCTCAGTGGTTGGTACCACTTCCATCATGTTGGCAGCTGTCTATCGTTCTCGCAATGCATCTGACCAGCAGAACTCTACCCTTATCAAGAAACTTGCAGGCAATGAGAGTCCTACACAACAAACTGTGGATACCATCTGCGATTCAACAACTTACAGCACAGAAGAATAACACTTTGATTAAATATGTAAAGATGAGGAACAACCATACTTTACTTGCTGCTTACAGTTGCGAACCAGGTCAACTCAGCAGTTGACTTCTGCTCCACCTAGTATCCTAGTTCATCCAAACAGCCTTATCAATCAATTCAGATGAGTCTTTGTACAGGAAGGTACTGGTCCACCAATCAACATAGCACTCATGCACTCAGGCCAGCCTCCGTGATCTCCATTGCTCTGTTTGACTCATCTATCAGCATCTTAAGGACATAGGTAGCACATCTATGGGCCCCAATGGAATCCATCCTTTCCTGATAAAACAATGTCCTTCAATATTTTCAGCAATATCTACACAATGTATATTAGGTCAATAATTGATTTTGGTCTCAGTGTCTGGGAGTCGTACTCCACCCAGGACCTGACTCTTAGACAGTGTGCTCAAGAAATCTTGGAGAAACATGCCTGCCCTGAGATATCTGTCATTCCCTCAAAGACTTGAAACACTCCACCTGTCAAATGCAATTGACTGGATTTTGCTGGGAGATCTCATTGAAATATACAAAATACTAAATGGCCACTACAACTGCACATATTTCGACGATTTCTTCCTCTGCTATACCAGCTTCCACCTTCGTGGCCACAATTACAAACTGAACAAAGACAATTTTTTGCACAATCCACACACACTTTTTCCTCTCGAATAGTAGTTGATCACTGGAATTACCTACTTGCTGCTGTCATCCCAGCATTCACACATTTAAACAAATGTTTGTACTGTTCTCTCTTGATTATCATGAAGTGTTTTCTTTTCTTCTTTGGTTTTCTTTTCTTTCTTTTATATTTACCATATTGTCATTTTATATTTCTTTCTCATGTGTATCTTTGTTTCATCCTGAACATTATTGGGATTGTCCTGCTGATAATGAACTAGTTGTTTCTAATGAGATATGACGATATTACAATACATTACTCTAGCTGAGTAATTGTACTTCACTCATCCTTACAAATGTAAGAAGAGAAAGTATTGTAATCATGCACTGGAAAACTGAATTTTCAACAGAAAAACCTTTAATAAAGCGACCTGGATGGCGGAGGTAGCTAAGAGCGTGTACCAACTCAGTGCTTCAGTCCGAAGGGTCACAGGTTCGAGTCCTGCCTAGGGCATGGTCGTTTGTCCCTGGTCTCTCATGCACGTGTAGTCGCGAAGGGCCTCGCATTCTGCTGACCACAAATCGGAGGAGCCCGTAAAGTGTGTTAATGTCTTGTGTACGGTCAAATATGCATCCCATCGAGACACAAAGGGTAACCAGCTGTCAGCAGGAAAAAGCCCTAAGAAGAGGAGAAAACTCTTATTGTCGGGCTCTAGTAATGAAAAAGTGGATCAATTCCAATCTTATATATAGTAAATTACTTCCTCTAATACAGGGTGTAGCTAGAATCCAATGTTCAGTGGGTCCTTGATATCGAAAATCAATTGACGGGAAAATGCCTTTCTGTCAGTGTCCATCTGCAGTCAATGCTAGCATCTAAACCATTCAGCCGATTTTTCCAAAATTTATATTCCCAGATCAATCTGCATGTCTTTAAGAGTTTCAAACGAATACTTTGATTTTTGAGGGAATAAAGCTTCAACCATTTCAAAATTTTCTCTATTTCAAAAAGCTCCAAATTTTTTTTATTAAATTTTGTCCTTGAATAGCGTAAAGGACGCTTAAGAGAATGGGTAGGTCTCGTGTTAGTTGAAAGCCCTGATTTTTTACCACTCTTAGCTGAATCAAGAACTTAATTACTCAATGCATGTATATCAAGTGGACAAATAGCAGCAAAATGGCATAGAGCATCTCTGAAGCCACTACACAAAGGCACAACATCACTTGAAGCATCTAGCCAAATAGCCCTTGAAAACATGTCACTCACCATTTTAACAAAGCTGATAGCAAAAAGATTAACAGTAAAGATCGAGCATTTACTACAGGAGCAACTATTAGGATTTAGACATAAAAGATCAGCGCACATGGCAGTGGGAACTTAAATAAATGCCAGAGGAAATAAGCAGCACAAGAAATTATATGCTGTATGTGTTGACTTCTTCAAAGCCTTTGATAACATAAATAGACAAATCATAACAAACAAATGATTAATGTTGCAAGGAAAGACTGACTATTGAGAATGACAATACAACTTAATAACACCCAAATTGATGATAATATAACAATTTTAGAGCAAATTGAAGATGTAGGAGAGCTGTCAGGAGATCCAGAAAGCAAGCTATTATTTATCATACTCATGCATGATGTAACAGTAGCCGTAAAAAATAGAAGCAGAAATATTTATTTATACAGATAATATAGGAATTATTTCAAAGGAGTGGAAAGAAACGCAAAAGGCTCCAAGTAAAACAGCAACTGCAAAAAAATTGCACATAAATAGAAACAAAACAGAAATAAAAATATTTTGGAGAGGCAGAAGAGAACAAAAATCAATATTGTAATAACATGTAACAGCGTCAAATTAAGAACAGCAAGCTCACCTAAATTCATAGGAGTTACCCTAAAAAATTAGACACAACCTTTCACGATTCATCTACAAGAGAGATTGATTGGAAACTCATAGAGACAGTAGTATCTGAAACATTATTAGGGCACATTGCCAAGTACATTGCACACAATTTCTTGCAGTTAGGGTTGCAATTGGTAACAGAGGATTGGTTAAGAGCAATTGACAAAGGAGAGGGCATGGTAGCATTGTTCTTCGATTATAAATGAGCTTTTGAAACAATAAACTGAAATATAACCTTGAAGAAACTAAAAGATGTTTACAGTATCACTGGTCATGTTTATGAACGGATAGATTATTTAAATGAAGATATCAGACTGTTTGGTTTCACACTAGTATGTCTGAGGAAGAAGCAAAACATACTATTTCACAAGGAAGTCAATTAGGACCACTGCTATTTATAACATATATAAATGACCTGCCTGGGTGCTGGGGCAATGTAAGATGCAAATGATTGCGTATGATACATTAATTTACTTCAATGGAAAAGACACACAGAATGTTATTAATATAGTAAATGAATTAGTTTGCTATGTAAATCAATCGAGTGTTGATGTCAAGAAAACAGTGAATGGAAAAGTGGTTTCGAGGAGGAAGAAGAGGAAGAAGAAGTCAGATGGTTGGCTTAAGGGTTCACATTTGGAGGGAGTTAAGAATTACAAACATCTAGGACTGATTATTGAAAAATTACTTAAATTTCAAGCACCATGTGGAATACATTAACAGAATAGCAAAGAAAGTTAATTTATTATACCAAAAAACAAAAAAAATAATTCAAAAACAGGAAAAAAGAGTTGTTAGTTTTGGGATTTCATGACAGCATTATTAAATAAAAGGTAAACTGAAAACGTCATTTCAATGTTAAAAAAATTAATAATGTTATTACAATATTATTAATAGAATTAGGCTATTTATCAGTTGAAAATGAAGTGAAGAAAGATATGTTATCATTTTCCTATAGATTGGAAAATAAATTACTCCCAGAATACTTAGTAAGAAAAAACTCCAGATGTACACAATTATTTATTACACTGAAAAATGCACATGTGTGCAATCTCTCTACAGAGAGTAAAATAAATATCACACGTAAAGAACTTCACTAAGTCACACAGTTGCTGTTGGTCCGTGCATACCGGTTGATTAGCAGCCTTCTTTCTTTACGTTTTTGGATGTGGTATCGATCGCAGATGCTTCCGCAGAGTTCGCACACGCAGGTTTCCCCTGGGTCATGGAAGTTTTCATTTTACTCAGCAGATGGTGAATGGTCCATGCACTGCGGATCTCATGACCATGCGACGAATCTCGTAGCTTGCAGACATTCAGCTTCTGTTACACATTGCCTCCGTAGTGTAGAACTCTGGTCATATTTCCTTTTTTCCTTTTCATACTTTCTAAGAGTAATTTTGTTGCATTGGTATTAGTTAGGAGGAATTGCAGTCTGAGCTCCTCCACCAGTAACGCATCCTGGGAAAGTACATATGCCAGACTAGATATTGTTCTTTTAGATATGCCCAATTCTTGTTTTAGAAATGTGGCTTTCACTTTTTCCAGGTCGTACAGATTTCTTATTTTGAGTTTTTCCCAGACGATATCAATACCATAAGTAATGACCAGTTAGACTTTTGCTTGAAAAAGCTTCATAGCTGTGTTCATGCCCAAGATCCTAATAAATTTGATTTCATCGCCGTCAATGTACACAATTATTGAACTAGGCAATCAAATTCCACCAGGAAAGTGTAAATAGCAGTGACTCATTAAAATTAGTATTCAATAATGGACTATATAATACAGTACCAAAGAAAAGAAAACAATTAGGGTCAGGTAGAGCATTTCGGCAAAAGGCGTTTTTATGGCTGGATAACAATACATAAGAAAATTGTAGGGGAATAATTATTGTGCGGTGTGAGATAAACTGCAGTAAGTACAAGTATCCTAAAAATTTGTTTATAATGAAAATGTCTATATATCAGTTACTGTTAAAATCTACAAACAGTTGGCCTTTTATGTCAAAATTGTATTTGTATATTTGATTAGCCTTAAGCTATTTGTCAATCAATAAACAATAAAACGTTCACAGACAAAACCTCCAACTCGAGAGAATTGCAGAAGCCTTCACTTTTACAAAGAACAATTCAATGAGCAGTTGGAGAAACACAACTGACATTACAGATTCTCTACAATTTACATTTTATATCTTTCTATTTATTTTTGGTTCTATGAAAAAACCTTGCAAACATACATTGACTCACTAGTGATAGAATCAGTAAAGAGCATTAAACATGAGTAAAAGTATTAACTTTTCACCTTGCCAGATTCTTCTTCATTGCAAGCCATAACAATAACTTGCACTTCACACTGCACCACCATGCGCCAAAAATCATTAACAGTGTGAGGCAATGGACCCTGGCTGGCAATATACGCTGGAGAGCCACTGGCTCCTTTAATATAGTTAGCATTAATGTAGTCACTGCCAGGGATGCCTGCATAATCTTCTAATATAACACGACTGCAATCAACTACAAGTGAGAAAACATTTAATTAAATGACAAATGTAGTTCTTCAAAGATATATACAGAAAAGATATAAAAGATTCAAAGATATATACAGATAAAGAAATATACAGAAGAGACAACCCATAAAAACATCCCAGCTGCTCTCAATGAGATCACATACCTGTTGTGTTAATGAAAATGTTCACGCAACACATGTAACCCAATAATAACTCAAATTCGTTCCTTGTCATCAAATTATTAATGCTTTAAAAAAAAAAGCATGTTCTCCATATTTATAGAGACTTCAATGAAGAATTAGTTTAATACGAATTATTGAATGTACATTTATAAGGAAAAACTGGTATAAAACAAAACAGTGGTAAATTAAAAATTTCAAAATTTATAACTAGTCCAACAAATAAATAAATACACTAAGGCAACTTTGAATGTCTTCTTTTCTTAGGAATTTTCCTCCAAATAGGAAATAAAATCTTTCACTTTTCAATAAGTGTCTTGCAAACTGCTTCCTGCATTTTTTGTCTGCTGTTTTTTTAACCTAGTAGCAGGTTTATTCATATTTAGAAACGAAAAATTTAGAAAAATAAAAAAATACTATTACTTCTTGAATTTTTTGCATCTTTAACTCAACATGTGTCTTAGATAATTCTGATAAACATTAATGACAAAACAACCAAATAAAATTGTGACAAAATATTCTGGACTAAACTAAACCAGATTTTTCAGATTCAATTTCTCAAAAATATAATTTATTTCTACAGGCAATACAAATGAACAAAACTTACATGGTAATATATCTTTGTAACGATTTTTCTTCCTGTTGACTTCTTTCTCACCTTGAGAACAAGTGTACTGCTTAGAAGTCTTCAGGAATTCACTAAACAGTTTTAACTCCTAAAGGTTAAATAAAGTGAGTGTTAATTTCATCAGTAACACGTTCTTTTCGATTATGCCATTTCTTTTATTTATTATTATTATTTTGCCTCATAACACAATGACAGCATTTAACCTACCTGAAATTCTTTGTCATAACTGCCTTCTAATTTTTCCCTATCAAGTTTCTCAATATGGTTTAAAAAGTTCTGAAGAATTGTTCGTAAAGGAGTCCTTTCCTCTTCTTCTTTCATCGCAACCCATACTCACACTTAACGCCGTATCAATATTAAACATTACAAGATGCACTTGTACACTTCAAATTCATGTCCCAGCTGTCCTACGTAAAGTTTAGGCAAAGTTCGCCAATGCAACACGAACTTCAACCATGCTTTAATCAGTCCACAGGACTGAACATCCAATGAAACTGAAGTGATCAATTTGAATTCCTAAGTTATTGAAATACACGAATTGAATAACCTCTATCCTCAGGGCCGAACCACCCACCGCGAGAGACCCCGCCACTGTGTAAGGAATGTTTCACATCAAACTATGAACATGACGCCACTGCGCTGCAACAATACGAGAACAATATAAGATCCACGCTCTCTGCTTTCATCAGAGAACAAGGAGAGATATTGAAGGAGAGGCCCCTACATATGTCCAGAATGACGTCACAACTTTGAGCGGGAAAGTGTAGGGTGACAGGTTCGTGTGCTTCTTCGAACATTAGTAAACATTTAGCTGTTGTGCGTTTGTGTTTCGTTTTGACACGTTTGTTAATTGCAGTGATATTTGCTTACTTTAGGTTTTTGATATTCTGGCTGCGCATTTTTATGTCAAATGTACTTTAAAAAAGCACAGTTCTGATACTATTATATTTAGATCCTGTATCTTTTCGATTCGATGATTCTAAGAAAATATTGATGCTGGGTGTGATACGATTATGAAATTAAATGTACGTAAGATTTGTCTCCAGGTTTCATCGGATATGAAGAGGTCCAAATAAACGAATTTAGGATCCCCCTCTGCTATTTGAGAATAATTGACTCCACATTTTTTTAATAAAATGTCAATTGTTTTATAACTGCCGATTTTAATACTAATTTTAGAAGATTTGCGCCACAGGCTCTGCGGGCGCTCAGCTGTTTAGGAAGAAATTCACCACGCCATTGCACAGTAAGATTTTTGTGAATGACCCTGAATCGGCTCCCTGTCATCTCAACTTTCTCGCTAAGGGCCGGTTTCACCAAACAAAGAGTAAGAGTTTACTCTGGAGTAAATCATGTTTACTCGAGAGTACCTTCTTGGAACGTTTCACCAACACTTTACTCGAGTGTAAATCGCTTACACGAGAGTAAATTCGAGAGTAACTTTACACCGCGAAAATCCGTCGGGTAAAGTACGGAGTAAATTCAGTTTTCAACGTGCATGTACCTCCGAAGTGATGTTACGGTTCGACGATTACGAATGATAGTATTTGTAGACGATTCCTGCAATGATTCGGAATATTAACCACTAGTGCGAAGACGAAGGGTGCGAGAGAGAATGGATTGGTTTTAATTATGACGATCGAGATTTTGTCACGAGGTAATGTTTGACCAAAATCAGCTTCATCACATACATTGTAGAGAACTTGTAAATTCTTACAGAAAAATCATACTTGCAATTCGTGTACCGATACAAGTTAGTTTTCTATAACTCGGAAACGAAAATGACTGTTTTTCAAATATTGCTTATCTTGCTATTTAAAAAAAATTATTTGTATTAAACTTTTACACACCATGCAAATATTTACAGTTAGAATGACGGGAAGGGATTCTGGAACTCAAGAAAACGTGCGCAAATAATCTTCTCCTCCTACGTCACACACAGTTTTTACGGTTTTTGACTGAATAAATCTAAATCTATATTCCATCCCTCGATTGGGCTGCAACGGAGCACCTGCCGCCTTGTTAAAGTAGGACGTTAACAATAAATATTGTGGAGAAAAGGCTATATCAATAAGAAAATCAATAGAGGCAAAGGCTCAAAACACCAATATATTTAGAACTGTTATTGATTGTATCGATTACACGTGGAACCACGGTAATAGAAAGTCAACCCCCATACGGGGCGTCCATAAATTACGTAACGCAAATTTGGAGTATTCTGAACACCCCCTCCCCCCTACAACGCACCCGTAACGCGCACTTGAACATATAACTCGGAAACAAAAGTTGTTATTTTTCAAATATTGCTAATCTTGCGATTTTTATTTTTTTTATTTATTTATTTATGTTAAATTTTTACTCATCTTTCAACTATTTATAGTTAAAATGACGGGAAGGAATTCTGGAACGCAAGAAAACGTGCGCAGATAATCTTCTCCCCCTACGTCACGTACAGTTTTTACTTTTTTGACTGAATAAATCTAAATCCAAACAAAAATACTAAATTGAAAGTAACACAAGTAGGCTACTGATAGCTGAGAAGCTAAAAGAAAAAATTGAAGCATAGGCTGAACGTATTACATGCTGCAAACATGGAGTAGAATTCCGAATGCACAATCAGTTGTTTGAAACAGTCGCGAAGAAATTCTATCGCAAACGGCAATGCTGTCGCTCCTTCAAAAGATTACGTCGAAGCATTTTGGACAGAAATCTGAGAGGAAGGCAGATTCTACAACAAAGACGCATCTTGGCTTCAATCTGAAGTTGATGTTGTGGATTAACTAGTGGAAACAGTGGATCATGTTCACGAATTATCGGAATAGAACCTCTTCCAACCAATTAAGCCCACGGGGGATTGGAAATTCCCCGGGATTGATAAGATCTACAATTACTGAATTAATAAATTAACACTAACACATTATTATCTAGCAATGGCTGTAAATAAAATTTTAGAAACCCCAAAGGAACTCCCGAATGGCTCACACGTGGCATCACATTTGCTACCCAGAGAGCTCTTTAGCGAATATCTAGAGGCTAATCACTTGTCTGCCAGTAATGTTGAAAGTTATAACTGAAGCAATAGCTGACAAAATGCGCCGACACCTAGAGAAGATCATCTGTTGCCAGTTAGACGAAAATGATGTAAAGGTTCCTATGGCTATAAGGAAATTTTTCTACTAAGTAAGGTCATCTTGAATGGTGTAAAGGAACGAAAAAGTAATTTAAGCAAGATTTGGATTGACTGCCACAAGGCCATTGACATTGTATCACATGATTGAATTTTGAAGACCCTGGAGATCTTATCTTTTTCATCCTAGACTTATTGAGTTTTGCAAGGCAAAACTCAAGTTGCAAATGCAATATGAAGTCGTGGAGTACCAGGATACTAATATACAACAGAAAGGAAGCGATAGAAACAAGAAGTAATTAGATTAAAAGGGATATTTTTCAAGGATATTCGCTATCTCCTCTGATGTTTTGCATTAGTTTGATCCCACTTTCTAGGTAGTTGTTGCACACTGACTTTGGTGCGGCGATGATGAGGATTAAGGTTAAAGGCTTCAACAGCCGAGATCATTGGCGCTCGGGTCAAATTATTGTGAGAGGTGGTGTGAATTGTATTGGTGTGATTTGTTGACGCCATCTTACGAGACGGACGCATCTGGTTGTGTCCTAAATTTTTGTCACTTTTTCTACTATTTTTAGCTATTTGAATATACTTGGTGTGTTTAAGTGCTTTCATTACTTGTTGCAGGTTGGCTGGATATATAATTTCGGCAAGATTTTTGCTATTACCAAGACAAACTAAAATATAACAAATTTTAAAAGGGTACTGGAACATTAACGAACTTGAGATTTACAAGTTGGTGATAGAGTAAAAACCTATAAACAGTTCAATTTCTTTTCAATATTATATCTCTGTGCTAATTTAATTACTGAAAGATTTTTATTGTATATCTGTGCCGAGTGACGATTCCGTTGATTTGAACATTACGAGGACGGTGTATCGAACAGTTTTGAATTTGTGTTCCAAATTTAATTTTTACGTTACAAATCTCCCTTTCCTCATCCCATTCCTTGCACTGAAACAGTGTATCTCTGCATCGTCAATATCTTCTCGACATAAGTTTCATGTCGGACTTTCCTTAATTTTGTAATCATAAAGGTATTTACCAAAGCCTCTGTGTCCCGTAAAAGCCTGAGACACGTAATAGTTCACCTCTCCATACTTTCGACCGACCCATCCCTCAATGTTATTAATTATCTGATGTGTCCATATACCTTTAACGTCCACATTCCACTTTCTTGGCCACTCTTCAAAAAGTAGTTTCCTAGCATTACTCTTAAGTCTCTATTTCCTTGGGTGGCTGTTTACTTATCGAGCTTCCTGTAAGGCGGAGTACGTCTTTTTCCTTTCCATAGCTATCAGATAGATGGGCGGGAAGATACTGACCAATACTAGCACTGCGCAAGTAGACACCGTACGGTGGGCAGCCGCCAGCCTCAGGGCCATTCGTCTTTGCACTTGAGCATACTTATTTCTCATAACCTGTATCTCCAATGAACGCCCCCAGACTGGTGCTGCATACGACAATTGTGAATGAACTACTCCAGATATCAACCTTCTCTTAGCTTCTCGTGGTCCACCTACATTCGGTAGTATTCTAGGATCCTGTCCTCGCCATCACACTTATGTGTGGCCCAAACGTAAGTCTACTGTGTATCTCAAGATATGCCTAGATATGTTATTTGGCGCTTCCAGTTTATTCTCTTCTCCCAGTCGGATATCGGGAAAGCGAAAAGCCCTCCGATCGGTAATTAACACGGCTTCAGGTTTTCCTACTTCTATTTGAGTAAGAAGTCTGTCTAGCCATCTTTTAACTTTATAGAGGGCTTCATTCACTCTTAGTTCAAGCACCTCAATATCATCACTATGGCGTATTATTAGTGTATCATCCGCGGATCCTATAATCTGCGTATTTCTTGGAAGGTTAATTCTCAATATGCTATCATACAGGACATTCCATAAAAAGGGGCCAAGTCTGGATTCTTGGGGAACTCCGAACCTCATTTTTTTCAATCTTGATGTTATCCACATACATTATCGTCCTTTCATGAAGGTAGTCCTCGATGATCCTTAATAAATATTCAGGTGTCCCCTTGTCAACCAATGCTACCATGATGTCCTTCCACCTGGCTGAGTTGAAGGCGTTTCTAATATCAATTGCTACCAGTGCGCAGAATCCCTTCTTCTTCCCAGTTCCATTTCTAGCTGCATCTGCGATGCGAACTTCTAAAATCGCATCCGTCGTCTAACAGCCTTTCTGCAATCCATATTGTCTATGAGAAAAGCTTATATATTCCTCAGGTCTTGAGAGTACTAGTCCCTCCAGTAACTTGCTCATAGTATCAAGAAGGCACAGTGGTCTATACGACGATGTCTGTTCCAACAGTTTGTTGTGGAGTAGGAGTATCAGCTTCAGTTTCTTTTAGTTCTTGTAAAATTTCCCACTCTTAAGCATATATTATAGGCTACCAGAAGACATTCTGGATATACTTGTAACACTAATTTTTATATTTCGGTGAGGATCCCATCCAAACCTGATGCCTTCCCAGTTTTCATATTCGTCACTACTTTCCTCAATTCGTCTGTCGTAAAGTAATCAACATCATTGAACATAAAATCATTCTGCCTGTGCCTCAGCCAGGGA